GTAAAATAGTCTTCCCAGACACCTGGATTTCAGTGTTGCTATATTCTGTGAAAAATAATGTAAGTTTAAAGTCTATAATTCTGAGCCGGGCGCGGTGGCTCACGCCTGTAATCCCAGCACTTTGGGAGGCCGAGGCGGGCGGATCACGAGGTCAGGAGATCGAGATCACAGTGAAACCCCGTCTCTACTAAAAATACAAAAAATTAGCCGGGCGCGGTGGTGGGCGCCTGTAGTCCCAGCTACTCGGGAGGCTGAGCCAGGAGAATGGCGTGAACCCGGGAGGTAGAGCTTGCAGTGAGCCGAGATCGCACCACTGCACTCCAGCCTGGGCGACAGAACTAGACTCTGTCTCAAAAAAAAAAAAAAAAAAAAAAAAAAAGAGTCTATAATTCTGATTAGTTGTCTGATTGAATGATTTGTTGTCTTGTTAATAATATTTAAAACAACATTCTGATTCCTGAAAGTTGCCTTTGCAAATTTATTTGTTAAACTGAGAAAAAAAGATTCATGGCACAACCCCTTTCTTGCAAATATATGGTCACACACGTATTTTACTATGTATTATTTCTTATTGAAAGAGTTAAGTCTTGTTTAAATTAGTAATTCGTGCTATGACTAAAACAAAACACTGTAATACTGAAGAGGGAACTGGCAGCTTGGAGAAAAAAACCAAATTGGCTTCAAGACATGCAGTCTGTTCTTAAGACAAAGTAGTAAAAAATTTTGCTTTCTCCATATTCTTCCTAGATGGCAGAAAGTGCTGTCCTCACCTGAGATGATACTTTAACTTCCAAAAAGTCATAAATGACTGATGCTCCTTAAGCTTTCGGGTAGTCTTGATTGTAGACAATTGTAAAAACAATAAAGATTCCTCGCTTCTGGAGGAGCTAAAATATCTACTCCTTAGTCTCCTCTGCTGTGGATATTACAAAATACTGTTATTGTTACTAAACTAAGGCTGTGGTGATTTCTTCGTGTTTTTATTTTTAATTTTATTCTTAGTAGAGACAAGGTCTTGCTATGTTGCTCAGGCTGGTCTCAAACTCCTGGGTTCAAGAGATCTTCCCACCTCAGCCTACAAAAGTGCTAGGATTATACAGACGTAGGCATGAGCCACTCGGTCTGGCACATGTGGTGACTTCTTCACAGGCACTGTTGCTCTTATATTTATTAACTGATTTCTTCTGCTAACTCATTCACTTGTTATTATTAAGATCAGGTCACAAACTAAACAGACAATTAGCGTAATAAATAAAATCATCCGTCCTGGGAGCTCTCTGTAAATATGCAGGTTAATATCATATATGTGTTGTTCATAAGTTTTAGTGATTATGTGTACTTTTGTAGGATGGGTAGAAAACATACTTAACATATTTGAAAGCTGAAACAATGAGTATTGGCAAAAGTCTTTATTGTTAGATTTGGAATAGCATTTCGCCTATTTATAATAACTAGGGAATACACTTTATAAGACAGATTGTAAAAGTAGTTTATAACTCCTTGAGATTTTGTAAAGCATTTGCTACCTCTCTATCTAGAAACAATAGGGAAAGTATAACACCAAGATGGGATTCTAAAGACACTGAAGTGGCCAGGCACACTGTTCATTTTTCTTAAGAAATCTTCAGCAGTAAGGATTGGATTTTGCAGGTTCATGAGTGGAAGACAGAGCCTGAAACTCACTTGCAGGGGCCTTTCTCAAGCCCTCCTGAGTACCTGTCAGGTACAAAGGTCCTCTGTCTTGAATGTATGCTTTATGTTTAAGATGTTCATCTTATCTATCAAACAATTTCTTATTAGTAATCTTTGGTTTCTCACAGTGTCTAGAAGAAAAGTTCCTGGACACTTCCTACTCGAGTCACCAGAGTACTTGTACAGCTTACAAATAGTTTCTGGTAGCTGAGACTATCTAGACAGCTGATCGACCTACTGTCCTAACCCTGGCTTATAAGGAAAATTCAACCCCATGTTTTAGACGTGTTCAAAAAGCTTTCCAGATATGCTCCAAATGAGTCCATCATGAAGCAGCTAAACTTTTCAGAAGATAGCATTTAACTTGCCCATCTGTCAGTAAGGTCTTGCCTCTGACCTCATTTGACAGTTCCTAACTAGTAATTTGTCTTCCTTAAATACAGTCTAACTTTTACTTTCATGCATTGAGGATTGGCCTTGGCCACTTCTGAACTGGGTCCAAAGACTACATTAGTTTAAGGCAGATCTACTGATCTGAAAATCTTTATGGAGGGAATCTGTTTAGTCACTTTCTTTCTGGAAAATAAATCTGAGACCTGTCACTCAAAACAAGAGAAAGCAGGACTCTTGATTTCTCTCATAAAAAAAAAGACTGGCAAATGATCACCATTAGAACGACAGGTGCATGACATTAAGCAAGCACTGGGAGGGCTGCTTCTTGGTTACTTTAGTCTGTTTGGGCTGATATAACAAAATATGATAGACTGGGTAGCTTATAAACTTAATAAATTTCTGTCTCTCAGTTTGGGAGTTTGGGAAGTCCCAGATTAAGGCATTGGCAGATTTGGTGTCTGGTGAGGTCCTGCTTCCTATATAATGGTCTTTTTGCTGTAACCTCACAAGGCAGAAGGGGTAAACCAGTTCTCTGGGGTCTCTTTTACAAGGGCACTAATTCATTAGGGTTCTGCCCTCATGATCTAATCACCTTTCAAAGGTTCCATTTCCTAATGCCTCGATAGTTAGGATTCCAACATTCAGACCACAGCACTACCCTACCCTTCCTGAACTTTCTGGCTTTGTTATTGAGTCTGAATTATAACCTGAGAAGTGTCTACCATCAAAGGCTAACTAAAATGAACTTTACTAAAAATAATGGACCATACCTAGTTATTACTCTTACATTCTTGGCTATGGAAACTCAAAAGTTACAATAACAATACATTCCATAAATACTGGATCTGTTGTCAATTACAAGACACTAAAGGAGAAACTCCTACCATACCAGTGCCTTTACCTGAATAACATGCACAATGTTTGGACAGCTGGAGGTAAAAGCCTTTCATGTTCAGAGTATGGCACTCGTTTGTCACAATAAAATTTTGGGGAAATTATGGAGGTAACTGGTTTACATTTAGCAAGTGATATCCCTGAATTCTTGCACTGTGTTAATGGAAACAGAGCTGCTTACCCTAGGCTGCACTAAAATACTACCTGGCACTTTGATTCTGGGTGAAACCTCCAGCTTTAACTTGTGACTTTAAGAAAAATAGTATGGACCAAGTGCCCTGGCTCACGCTTGTAATCCCAGCATTTTGGGAGGCCAAGATGAGAGGACTGGTTGAGCTCAGTTCAAGACCAGCCTAGGCAACATAGCAAGACAGTGTCTCTACAAAAATAAAAATAAAAAAATTAACTGGGTGTGGTGCTGCATGCCTGTAGTCTCAGCTACTCAGAAGGCTGAGGCAGGAGAATTGCTTGAGCCTGGGAAGGTCAAGGCTGCAGTGAGCCATGATTGTACTCCAGCCTGGGTGACAGGGCCAGAACCCCTCCCTCTAAAAAAAAAAAAAAAAAAGAGAGTATGATTAAGACACCTATTCCATCTGTTGAGCTCATGTTCAGTCATAAATATCTGGCCTGGCTTTTTTAATCTTCCTATACTTCTTAGGGGGAAACAGTCATAACAACCTGATTAAGTGAGGTTACACACCATATAGAAAGACCAAAAACTATTGAAATAAGGTAACAACAGGACAACTTTTCTAAATCTGCTTACTACTGAAAGGATGGCTACGACACTAAGGTCCTACAGAATCACATAGCTTAGCCAGCAAAGGAAGTGTATGTGCTCTTATCAGCAAGGAATGATACCCCTACATTCCTGGCAATTCATATCAAAAATAATTTGTCAAGCTGCACCAGACAGAGCTAGGACCTTTTTTTTTTACATAGGTGGGTAGCCTTCTATAGGCCCTTTAGCATTTATAAATTGTAAAAGGTATTATTGTGAGGCTAAAAAACGTTAGTCCATTATGCATGTAGCAGTAATATTTATAAAATGTTATATAAGTTGTAGCCTCAAAAGACTCATTTCAGGTTTCTTACTGGTTATTAAGTATCGCACACTGGCAAATAATATGTAAGAATAAATGATAAGAAAGTTCATGCAGATTCTTTACTTATTTTAAATCCAATTTTACTTTTTTAAAAATAGAGAGAGGGTCTTGCTATGTTGCTCAGGCTGGTCTTGAACTCCTGGTCTCAAGGGACGCTCCTGCCTTGGCCTCCCAAAGTGCTGAGATTACAGGCATGAGCAACCCCACTCCACCTCATGCAGATTCTAATTTAAGATAAAATATCACCTGAGAAGTCCTAGACTATATTTGAACTCAATTTTCCGAATAATTCCCTAAAGAAGAAGGGCCTTTTAGCCTACTCTAATTCTATTTTTATTTTGCTGATTTTCCATCACTTTTACTGATCAATGATTTCTGTTTAAACTTTTATATACTACTCCTTAAATTAGAAACAATTCAGATAAATTTATGGTTTTATGCTTACTTGCTTAGCAACTAAGTTGATTCTAAAAATTGGATTTTTTTAGCAAGACAGAAAGAATGTTTAGTAGAAAAAGCACTGATTTGGGAGCCAGGAGGCTTATAGTAAAGTGTTTACACTTTAAGAATGAGCTAAATGTGTAACTTAAATCAAGTGCATTGGCTTAATTATTGGAACCTCAGTAAAGCGTATGTTTTCTCTCAAATATGCCCTTTCCCGTCAGTTCATTAGGGAGTGGGCCAAAAGGGAAAATCTGAATGCTAACATATATGTAAAACATGATGGGAAACTACCCTCTCCCTTCCACCAAAACAATGCATGGAGTTGTGGATTTTAAATAACAGTAATTATTCATATGAGACTCTATACCAAAAAGGGCACAGAAATAATTTATGTATTACTAATACCTACAGAACAATAGGAATATGTACCGTATAGGGCAAAACTAGCATTTTGTTTTTTTAAAGGTCATGCTACACTGCAGTCTGAAGTAGTATTCTTAAAGTTCAAATTACACATTGGGTCCACAGATAATACACAAAAACTGATTTGGGATAAATGAGCCCTATGGATGATCTCTACAAAAGCAACATCTGGGCCAACACCTACATACACTCACCAGAAACTGCAGCAAATACAAGCAGAGCAGGTAAGCACAAAGGAGAACAGGAAGATGGCAGTGTAACCTGTCTACACCATTGGAAACATTCTGATGAATGCCATCCATGAACACAAGCACACACTACTACTCACAAAATGGTAATAAATTCATATACATCCCCAGGCATTCCCAATTAGTGAAGAATTATATTTGAAGCCTACTTTAAAATAATAGAGGCTGACCACAGTGACTCACGCCTGTAATCCCAGCACTTTAGAAGGCCAAGACGGGCCGATGGCTTGAGCACGCAGATTGCTTGAGCTCAGGAGTTCAAGACCAGCCTGGGCAACATAGCGAGACCCCTGTCTTTACAAAAAATACAAAAATTAGCCAGGTGTGGTGTGGTGTGTGCACTTGCAGTCCTAGCAATTCAGGAGGCTGAGTTGTGAGTCTTGCTTGAGCCCAGGGGGCAGAGGTTGCAGTGAGCCAAGATTGCACTACTGCACCCCAGCCTGGGCAACAGAGACCCCGCCTCAAAAATAAATAAAAAAATACATTAATTAATGTAATCCCCCATCCATCTATTTTCAATACAGGGCAAACCAAAAAGCAGTTCCGTGCATTTAACCTAAATTTTTCTATAAGAATATATTGTATGTAGTTCTTTAAAAATAGATTTTTGCTCATTTGCCGTAATTTTTTTAATTTGATGAGTTGAAGTGGTATTCCTTAACTGTAATTTCAAGATGTTTTTCCCTACAGGCCAACAACCCACAAAATAAAATGCCACACCTGAAGCAATCCTCCAAACTTACTATCCGTCATTAGCAAATAGAGCTTTAACCTTTTGGGCATCACAGGGTCTTTAAGATGCCCGTGCCTGCTGAGACCTTCTCCCTAGAAAAATGCAGTAAATACATCTTGTTTCATAGGGCTCATGGACTTGTTGAACACTATACACAGGCCACAAGTAGAATCTATTGTCTACCTGAGAATATACTATTATTTCAAAAGTCTCTTAGGAATTGGCAGCAAGGAGTGTATGTGCAATGGGTACAAATCCACCCAGGGTTTTGTAGTTGTGATATTACTACTATTTTTGGTGGCCTCAACTTTAATGGAGCAGAAAAACAATTGAGGTTAGCAAATAGCAGTGTAAAGGATGGATTCAGCTCATTGGGAAGAAAAAAAAATTCTGCATACCCTGAAGAAAGAGAAGCTTCTTTTCAGTTTCCAGAGAACCAGAAGGACCATCATTTAACTTCTGATTAACTCTGAGTATGATAAGTAGGAAATGTCTTTAAATGGGGTTAAAATTAATAGACATTAGAAACAGAAACTACACTCTTATTTAAGCTATCAGTAATCATTGATGGCTAAATGTTATTAGTATTGTTAATAAGAGGGAAATTCAGTTATAAAAATATAGCACAATACTCTAAAATTTTCATCTTTGTTTAAAATACTTGGAGGCAGTGTAGTTAAATGCAAAATATTATGTCAGTTATTTTGTACACCTGAAGGACTGTTTATAAATGTTTCTCATGTACATTATCACACAAATATTATTCTAGAATACTTGAGTTCTACATACTACAAATCATGTTAAAGAATCATAGCACCTTTAAAAAATTGTTCATACTGAACTGTTGGATAGAATTTCCCTTAATGTATAGCAATAAGCTTCAACAATTTACAGTGGCTCAGGTTGAATATCTATTTTGATGCTATATATGAAGAGTCTGATATGTTTTCTGAGAAAAGCAAAAGCTAAATAAATTATTATTAAGTCAACACTACTGACTCATGTAGTTATTAAGGAAAACTATATATACTTTCATGAAAACTAATTATTACACAGCTTTGCATTTCAGCTTAATTCCTATTTTATTGTTTTGCCAACAAGACTGCCAACTCCTTAAGCATTACAGCTAGTCAAGAATTAAATCTGCATTAAATACAGAATTAATTTGTCTTTGGGGTTTAATTTTTTTTAATTAATAGCAAAGTGCTATGTCAAGAAGAGTCAACGTACCAAAAAATTAAAACAGAAAATCAAAATTCATTAAAACAATTTGTTTGTTTGCTCAGTAGTATATTTTTTACATTCACTGAACATTGCCTTGCCTTTCCCATAATTAAAAAGTTAATTATTGGAATCATATTTTTTGTAGATCCCAGTTTTCAAACAATGTGATTTAAATGCTTGTTATTAACATTATTACAACACTTTGAGTAACACTGATACTAACACTAAAGTGATGCTGTTTTGTACATAATTAAATTTGTTACCATTCTAAACAGAACTTTAAATTTAACTCTGTGGTAAAGACCCTGCTTAAGTATTAAAAGTTAGGAACCCTCCAGTCTGAATATTTTTATAACCTTTTTTGTTTTAAGAGACAGAGACGCGAACTCCTCGGCTTAAGGGGTCCTTCTGTCTCAGCCTCCTGAGTAGCTAGGACTACAGCTGTGTACCACTGTACCCCGCTTCATTATAACCTGTTAAAGGTAGCAGTTAAGTTCCTTGAGGGTCAAGTCATTCTCCCTCCCCCCACCTCTTGTCCAAATATTCAAGAAATATTTACTCAGTGATTTAGTAATCTACATTTAGTTACAAATATATTTATTACTAAATATAGATTACCATTAATAAATAGTTCCTTGGTTTAGTATGGTCTCTTAAAGTTTTCAGAAGCTATTAAATACTATAAACTGTGTATAATGAGCACAGTTTTTAGACAACTTTTCAGTGATCAAAACAGAGGAAATGAATAAGAATGGACAAATGTAGCACATTAAACCCATAACAGTTTTAAAAATTCTGGATTAAACAACCCAAACAACTAATAAAATCAACTCCTTGTCAAAAGTACATCTGGGAATGCTTCTCCAAAAAATATTATTATAATTGCCTAAAATTTAATATTTTAGTTGTCTTATTAGAAAGTCTTTAATTGAAAATTATAAAAATCAAACTGGCTTTAATGTACAAAGCATAATCTCCAATATCTACTGAAAATAATTTTTTTAAAAAAATCCCACATTTCTGATTCCTTTTTAAGAGAAAAAAAAAAATTAAAAAAAATCCTCCAAAGCTTATCAGGCTTTTTCGGGCCAAATCATTCAGAAATCTATCTATAAAAGATTCAGAGTATATTCAGGGCATTAAAATTATCCTACTCTGAAGTAGAATAAACTATTTCCTTATCTTTTAAAAGCTTAGCTATCAATACTACTTAGAATTACCATCAGAGTGTCTGTATTAAGAGTACCCTAATTTGCAGCAGAACAAACTATTTCCTCACCTTTTAAGAGCTTAGTTATCAGTACCTCCTAGAATCACCATAAGAATGGGAGGGCTTCATCTAGGATTTGATATTGTAATTAAATTTTCAAATAAGACAAATTAGTCCACATAAAAAAGTACAGCAATAGGTACAGGCAAGAGAAGCCATGAAGGCATTCTCGAATCTCGCCAAAGAATTTTTCTCTAAAATCATCTTTAAGGAAATACCAATTTAACTTCAATAGCCTTGTTTAACGATTCAAACTATTTTTTAAAATCTTAGAATAACCTAAAATCACAAAATTTCTCCACTGAGTTGGCATACCAATTCCTCAATTTAAGTTATTTCAGCTGTTGTAATCATACACCTGATATGCTTGATTTGAAACTGGGTAGTTTTTTAAGGTTTAGTTGAATGAGGGAATTATTAATTTATCACAATTTCCAGACTAATATTAAAACTGATAGTAGGAATGAAAAATTCAAATAAAATAACAGAAACCTCTAATTACGGTGTGCAGCGTTTGCAGTTACAAAAGCAACACTTTCCATTTTTCCCATCATAAGGACTTTGTCACCAAAATAGTAAACTATACAAATTGGATTGCAACAATTTCCACTGTTATTGGTAATTTTTTAATAGGAACACTTTCCATTAATGCTTGAAAACTACGAACTACATTTTATTTTGTATCTTGTTAAATTAGTTGGAGAATATCTATTGTAAAGCTGTCAGCACATCTCTAACATTACTTTGCCAGGATCCACCTGCTCTATGCTGCCCACTACAGGAAATGCAATATGGTAATAAGAAATACAATATAAGGTTACTTTAGTACAATCTCATAAAAAATATACTCTGACTCTACTTCGATGCTAAATGTGGTGTTCTTGCAAGAGATACAGACTGATTAGTGGCAATCAAATTTATCAACTCTAAAGGACATCAGTAAGAACAGACAGGACCAGAAATTTTATCTTGGTGATCCACATGCCAGGATTGGCACGGCAGAGGATGGAGTGTGGAACTTAGTGATTGAGGCGCAGCCTGCAGAAATCTCAACTTCTGCACTAGAGATTAAATACGAGGATCAAAATCAACATAAACTACACCCCTTTTTAAAAAGTCATGTAAACACAAATGATTGCTGCAACTAGAAAACAACATTTAAAATAAATTATTCTTGTGATGCATATCTGTTTCAACAAACCTTTCCTTAAACCTTTACGTTACTCTTACAAGCAAATACCGTTTAATAGCTTACTTTTGTCTTACATTTTTCTAATCACAGGAAAATTGAAACGTAAGTAATCTGATAAACATCAAGTTTTACGTTTATGCTTTTGACCGCAGGGTATACACTGTTAAAAATTTAAATTCTATTCATCAGATATACTTTAGGACTCCATTTTGAAGATAGCCTCTTCTACAGAAAAGGAATTTTAAAAAGTCAATTCTCCAGTTTCTCATCACATTTTTTTTTTAAAAAGGCTTTTAAACATTATCACTCCAAGTCTTTAGCCTTTGATACTTGCTCTGAAAAGCAAAACACACTATTGTATATGTTAGTGTATGTACACACACACACATTAACAGTGACTTAAAAGTGGCAACCGCCTCTTGAAAAGTAAAAATGTCATCCCTTCATTCTGCCCTTAAATGAGAAATAAAGACAATAGATTTGCCCACTGCAGAGTAGGATACCAGAAAAGACATTCTAAGTCTAGCCTGAGACAATATTAACCTTCTATCTTAAGTCCCAACTCGGACGACTTAAATTTCAGTGTACGTGCCTCCGTTCCCACTCTTGCCCCATCAGCTCCATCAGCACCGTCATCCCCAGCTCGGATCCCGGCCGCCACCCGCTAGGGCCGCCGGAGTCCACGAATACCGCCCGCTCCTGGCAACCGAGCTCCCCGGTTCCCGGCCGACCGCGAGTTCCTGGAGCAGCAGCCTCCAGGGTTCCCGAAGCCCACGATTCAGGCGAGCGGTGCCGACCGGGCCGTGGACTGTGGCATTTTAAAACTACAGAAAAGTCTCATTGCACGACAGGCGCGGCCGAGGTGGCCCAGGAGACCCTCCAAGAGATCGCGGTCAGCTGCCGGGAGCGTGGAAGAGCAACCAAAGCCACTAAGGCGCCGCGGCAAGTCCCCGGAGCAGTCACCTCAGCTTTCCGTTCTCCCTCTAGTTATACCCCACAGGCTTCTGGCGCTTCCTTCGAGAAAATGAAAAACTAAAAATGCGTAGAGGTGGAAGTCGTTGGCATTTTCCGTTTAATGTGATCCCCCAGGCTCCATCCCTTAAGTGGGGTTTCCAAACTCGGATGCATCCTCAGCAGAGGTTTTCCATGTTGACAGATCTCTCACCTCCCACAAAATGGGGCCGGGGAGACGGACGCTGTCTCTTCTATGGGCGCCGCCATTTTGTGAGGCGGCGGCGGCGCGGCGGCAGGAGCCCGGGGTGTGTATAATGGTTGAATAGAATGACCCCCTCTAGGGAATCCCCGGCACTGACGGTTACGTAAGGGGCTGTGCGCAAGTGCGGCGTTTAGGGAATCCGCACAGCCCGGGCCACGCAGCTCCGAGCCCACATCTCCACTCCCCCTAAGAGGACGGGTGGGGGAAGGGACAGCTGACCGAGTGTTCCTAACAGCAGTCTCCCGCGGCCGCCGAGCTTCTCCACCTCCCCGAGCCGGGTCTCCGCCCCTCACAGGCTTGCGAGACACTCACTGGCCCTGGGGTGTCAGGAATTTCCTAGCCACAACCTTATTCCGACCCCACTTGAGAGACAAACTTTAGTTGGGAAATAAGTCCGTTTCCTAGAGTGAGCACCGGAAGCACGCTGCACTATATTACATAATTTTTCACCTCCAAAGCAATGTTCCCATTGGAACGACTACCTGAAATAACCCATCCAGACCCTTACTACCCTTTGACCTTGCGTTAGGCAGTGACTTTGCCCGTGGTGGCCGTCACTAAAATGGGAATAATAATACGCTTCCCGTACTGTAATCTTAACATTTGTAGCAAAAAGCCGGCTCCAACACCCTTCGTAAATGCAAATTTAGGTGGTAGTATTTGTTGAGATGTTTTGACTATCATTTAAACAAAGGGTTTTTTTAACTTTCAAAAATATTTTAAACGAGGATTACATTTAAGACATTTGAAAGCAAGGAAAAATGTTTTATTTGATATTTATTTTAAATGCAGCAATCTTGAAGAGACTTTACTATAAAAATGTAAACGTTAATTATTGTCGAAGTTCGACAGATTGCTTCCCAACCAGTTTAGTTAGCTTGCATAACTTTGCTCATAGAATAATCCAGTTTGATATGTGAAGCCAACCAGCGGCAAGATGGATTAACAGCATTACTCTATTTCCACAGAACTAGGACAGACAGTTCACAATGTATTTAACGTATAGTTTGCTAAAGTTAGCGTGTGGATAATTCATAGAAAATGTGCTAACCAGGCCCCAAAATACTAGCATAAGGCTCATAAAAGCCGATTCCTTTAGACTTTACAAAAAGAGAAGGTAACACATTGACTTTATTCCGATCTGTGAATGTTGCGTAGCGTGAGTAGCTGCCCCGGTGAGCTTCCTTTCCCTTCAGAGCGCCACACCGGTTCTATCGGGCGGGCGGGGACTCCGAGGCGGCCCTTCTAACAGCCGGGTCGGGGACGCGAACATCGCCTCCACCCCTAACCCTGGAACAACCGGTAGTGGCCGTTTCCCCGCGCCGCCCCCCTTTCCGCCGGCTTTGTGTGTGTGTGTGAAATGTGCGGCACATTGCAGACGAACCCTAAGCCCGGCGAGCCGAGTCTATTGTTCCCCGCGAGGAGCTGCCGGGGCGGTGTGGAGCCAGGCGCAGTGCCGCGGCCGGCCCTCGGGGGTCGCTGTGTGGCACTGGCTGCCGGGCCGTGGCGGCGGCGCTGGCGGCGGCAGAGAGGGAGGCTGGCGGGGAGGGAAGCAGGCGGGCGGCGCGCAGCGGCTCAGCTGCCGCCGGTGCTTCTGCCTGGGGACGCCCCGGCCTCCGCGGCCGAGGCCGCGCGTAAATGTGTGCGAGGGCCCCGCGGAACCGGGGCCGAAATACACGCTGTCACCCCGCTTTCCACAAACCACCACACAGACCTCCCCCTCCCCACCCCCAGCCCCGCCTGCCCCAGCCCCGCCGCCGCCGCCGCCGCCGAAACTCTTGGGCCTCCGGCCGCCCAGACCCCTCACCATCAGCTCGCCTTGCCCCTCGCCCGCTCGCGCGCCCCCGGCAGCAGCACCATGTTGAATCGCGTCCCCGGGCTGAGCCGCCTCAGCCGGCGGCGCTGAGAGGCGGGCGAGAGCCGGGCCACGGGGAGGGAGGGAGGGAAGGAAGGGGTGGGGGCCGCGCTCGCCCCGCGGCTTCGCGCGGATCCGGCAGTCGCCTGCCCCTCTAGTTTCGCTCCGATTTCTTTAAACTTTTTTAGAAATTCCCCTCCCTCCTTCCCTCCTCTCCCCCTGGCCTCCTGCTCCCTCCTTCCCCTCCTCCTCCTCCTCCTCCCCCTCCCTCCCTCCCTCCCTGCGCCGCCGCCGCCGCCGCCGCCGCCGCCGCCGCCACCGCCGGCCCATGACTGAGCCCCGCCGCCGCCGGCCGAGGAATGGGCTCCGGGCTCTGGTAGGAAGCGCTAGGAGCGGGGGGCGCTTTTAAAACACCGATCTGGGTTTTTTAAAAACCTCCTTTGAAAAAATAATGGCAAACTCGACGGGGAAGGCGCCTCCGGACGAGCGGAGAAAGGGACTCGCTTTCCTGGACGAGCTGCGGCAGTTCCACCACAGCAGAGGGTGAGAGCAGAACCGGGGGGGCAGCGCCGGGGCGAGCCGGGGCGAACGGGGCTCTCCCGCCCGGGCCGGGCACGGGGTCCCGGCTGACAAGTGCGGGGCTTTCTCTCTCCCGCAGGTCGCCTTTTAAAAAAATCCCTGCGGTGGGTGGGAAGGAGCTGGATCTTCACGGTCTCTACACCAGAGTCACTACTTTAGGCGGATTCGCGAAGGTGAGTGGAAGTTTTAATTTGTATTTCCCTCTCGCTGGCCTCCTCCAAAAAGTCTCCTTTGACCCCGGAGTGGGCGCTTGGGGCTGGGGGGGTGGCCCGCAGGGGCAAAAGGCGTTCTTTTCGCTCCCAGCCGGTGGCACGGAGGCGGACGGCGGCGGGGCTGTTTTTGGCCTGGTGGCTCGCGTGCGCGCGGCGGGCGCGGGGCTCCGGCGGGCGGGCGGCCCGGCGCCGGCTCGCGCCCTGCCCGGTGCCCGGTCGGGCCGGCAGGGTCTGAGCGCCGTGGCGGGGAGTGCGGGCGTGCGGGGCGCCAGCCTGAGCCCCGCGCCCGCCCCGCGCCCGCGCCGCCCGCCCGCTCGCTCGCTCGCGAGTCAGCTCTGCCGCCGCTGCCGCTCTAGCACAGGCGGAGACACAGAGACACACAGACTCTGAGAGCAGTTTTCGTGCAACTCAAAATTAGCGCGGGCAGGTTTAACATCGATAATCGGCTGCGAAATGATCCCGGCAGCCGGGGGCACAGCCTCGGCCCCGTCGCCCTCGGTTTATACAGCTAACAAAAGAAACCAGGACCTGTCTCCAAATAGCCATCTTAGGCTTCAAGGCTAGGCAGAAGCTGTAGGCCTCAAAGAAGGGCCTATGGAGATGGATAGATCTGGGAGAGGGATCGGAATCGGCCCTGGCCCTGGCCCCCCCAGAACCCGCGGACGTCGCTGTCCGGAACTGTATTGATCCTTTTGAACTTTTTTTTTTTTTTTTTTTTTTTTAAGTGTAAACGGACCGCGTTGAGATTTAAAAGGGGGCGACAGAGGGACTTGCGATTGGTTATTGTCCGGGCTTCAAAAACAAAACAAACCCACCAACCCCCCCCATCCAAACAAAACAAGTGGTATTAAATACAGGGCTCTCTGGTGAAAACACAGTGATTCAAGAAGCCCTTGCTTAGGAACTCTTACCGATCGATCCGAAACACCCACTGATGCCTTAGGTATCTACAGATCTCTGTAGAATGGGTATTTATTTCATAGTTAGGTTAAGATTTTCTTAGATTGTTCACGTTCAGACAAGTGTGCCTGTGTTTTACCAGGTTTCTGAGAAGAATCAGTGGGGAGAAATTGTTGAAGAGTTCAACTTTCCCAGAAGTTGTTCTAACGCTGCCTTTGCTTTAAAACAGTATTACTTGCGGTGAGTAGTAGTGACTTTTCCATAGTATTTGGAAATAAGGGACTTATGGAGAGATTTGTTTTTAGCAAAACCAAAAGCAAACCTTGCACACCAAACAGTTCTTAAGCTCTTGTTCATTTCAGACTGAGACACATTTAATATAAATAAAGTGAGATTGTAGGAAGGTGAAAGTTTTCCTCACTAATTTCAGGATCGTTTACGTTTTTCATACAAAATCATTACAGGTGACACCCTAGCCCCAATCTTGGTAAACATTCTTTTGTGACATTGTTATTGATCGCTTGATATCCACTGAGGGGCAGAAAGGTGATGCTTAGTAAAAGACTTAAGATAGTTAATGAAACTTTGTAGCCTTCAGGAAAATTTTTTTCTTTGTTTTGGAAAGTCCTTTAGTTTTAAAAATTCTGACTTTAAGAATTTTTTTTTTAAATGAAACTTCTTGTTTGGAACAGTGTCATTGAATAGGTTTTTCAGTAGAATATTCCTACATGGGATAACATGTTGGTGACTTAGGTCACCAGGATTGTTTTGATAATTTTGGTTGAATTTTCAGTAACTTAAAAACGTTCAAAAGGATTATTATATCTTTAGGGAAACGGGATACTATGAAATGGGATACTATAATCTGGATTTTCTTTCATTCTCTCTCTTCTTTTTTGACTGCTTATTCGACAAAGTTAAATTTCTTATTCAGTTGGTATGTGATACAGTCTAGATGATTTATTTTGTGATCTAGTGTTATTTTTTCGCTTCTAGTTTTTCTTCTAGGAATACTTTCATATTGTAATTTATCATGAGGCTGTGTTTTATTTTTAATGTTTACTTACCCTTAGAGGATCCTAAGTTAGTTGGTGTTATTTAAAACTAAAATGATATTCTTTGTATTTATTGATTTTTAATAGTGATATTACAGGCCTTTTTTGGTAAGGTGGCTTCTGCATAATTTGAGTTTTGCATTTATTATTGCTTCAGATGCACTCAGTTATTGTGTATTACGTTCAGCATTCTGAAATAGGAAATGCAGTAATTGCACAGGTGTACTTTCTATTGGCTATCTTAGATTGACTTCAGGCTTGAAGCTGGAGTTCGCAGAACTTTGTGAGTAGTTATTGAGTTACACAGGAAGTCTAGAAAATATTAAATATGGTTAGTTGTCATCTATTGTGTGTGTGTGATGGCATTTGTGTCAGAGTACATTTTAAAATAAAGGGCTACATAAAAAAAAAATTAACCTCCAAAAGTTAGTAGTGGGGTGAGAAATAGAGAGTTTTATATTCATCGTGACATTCATTTGCTCGTTTCTACTTATGATATTGAGAGTAACATTTTAATACATATTCTGGTTTTATGTTTTTATCAGTTTAAAACATTTGAATTTTGGACTGTTTGAAATACATATTTTTGAAGTTTTGCTTCATATTTCTTATCTTGATTGACTTAAATTTTATAACCAGAAAGTACTGTAGAATATACATGATTCATGGGATGTATATTTTTCTGAAGAGTTTACATTCATACTAATAGTTTTAGCATAATCAAATTAATATCTAGGCTTTCTTTTTTTAACAAAAGTTAATTATAAATATTGTTTTTCCAGTTGTCATTTTTATCTTGGGAGGATATCGTTAATTATAGGTACTGTTTTTAACTATATAGTTTCAACATTGTAAGTATTTACATTGTCTTCAGATCAAATTGGGCTTTATGCTCTTATTAGAAGCTGCTTTTTGAACTATGTCCTTAGTTAAACTTGTTTTTCCCTCATATGTCACTCTCTAGATTTGTTTTTACAGGGTTGTAGCTAGGCTACTAGGAAAAAAGTTGAAGCATTTGTTTTGGAAAATAAAACCATGTGAAGATTTGCATGGCTTGTAAAGAAATACAAAAGAAATATGCTGATCAAAACTTAGGTACTACCAACCTTGAAAGAATTTTTTCCTGGTGGTCTAATATTGCACAGTAAGAGGATATATATGATGCTGGCTTTTACACCTTCCTCTGAAAAATCTTAATTGGCAGACAGAATGCCAAGTAACAGTAATTCTGTTACCTACCCATAAGATTGGGTCTTCATAGTAAGAAATAGTAATCAAGTGACTTGATAAGTTACGTCTTTGCTACATCAGATTGAATATCATCATTACTGATGAGCAGATAATGCAGTGTATTTTTTAAATTACAAGTGGAATAATTTTTTAATATGAACTGCTTTTTCATTTGACCTACTGTAAGACTGTCATTATGTGTATTAGTTCTCCTTTACAAGTTTAATATTTGCTCACATTTCCCTGTAAGTTTGCTATTAATTGGATAGATGGCTGTTACCCTAGGGTTTTATGATGTATCTTCATAATATTAGATATTTAAATTAGGAAAAGCAAACTAGTATGCTGGCCATGTATATTCTAATAGTGTTTTGTAATTTTTGATACAAATATTGACAGTCATTAAATACAGACTTGAGTATTAATGGTCTGCCAGAAGTTAGCTCAATTGTCTCAAACATACATTTATTCAGTTATAGCTTGTCTACAAAAATTTCTCAAAGTCTAAAATTAAAAATGCAGTTGGTTATTTTAACATTGGCATGTAATTTTTACAAATGTGTCTGCCTGTATCAACGTATCTCACTTACTCCATAAATATATATACCTATTGTGTACCCACACACAAAAAATTAAAAATTAAAAAAGTGCTTACAGATAATGTAAAAGCAGTCTGTTTAAAAATCGGAGGCCAGGCATGGTAGCTCATACCTGTAATCCCAGCACTTTGGGAGGCCAGGGCAGGCAGATTACCTGAGGTCAGGAGTTTGAGACCAGCCTGGCCAACATGGAGAAACCTCGTGCCTACTAAAAATAGAAAAATTAATCTGGTATGGTGGCACATGCCTGTAATCCCAGCTACTTGGGAGGCTGATGCAGGAGAATTGCTTGAGCATGGAGACGGAGGTTGCAGTGAGCGGAGATGGTGCCACTGCACTCCAGCCTGGCCGACAGAGCGAGACTCTGTCTCAAAATAAATAAATAAATAAATAAATAAATAATTGGATATTAATCATCTGCAATGTTTATGCACTTTATTTTCATGTAGTTCCTTTTCTTGGCATGTACATCTCAATGTGTTCCACAAATGTTTATTATTAGGATATTCCTGTAGTATGAAAGGATAAGGTATAATTTCCCACATTTTGTAGATGGAGAAATTAAAGTACCAAAAATAAAATTAAATGGCTTTGGGAACACTCATTAATTGGACCAAAATATTGTGTTCATGACATGTGTTCAATAATATTTGGAAATTACCTATGGTTAAATTTATGCCCAAGTATATCTTTGCCTA